GTTCAGACGGTACTTTTTTTTAAGGGGCTTTCTGAGCTCTGAGAGTGAGGAACACAGGAGCTAGAATAAAATTTAATGTTGAGGTGCCAGCAGGTGGCGTGGTGGTTGAGGTGCTGGACTCCCACATAGCCGACCATGTTTTGAGTCCCGGACCTGGCAGCTTGCTTTCTCACTTTCCCGCTCTCTCCCTCTCTCTTTCTAATCACATTTAAAAATGATAATAATAATAAATAAAAAATTTTGAAAAGGTTAATGTATATATACTTTTTAAAAATTATTTATTCAATTTTACTTACTATTTTTTTTAATTTGACCAGAGAGAGAAAGGAAAAATGAGAAAGCAAACTGACAGGTCAAGGACGTGAACTGTGGAGAGCCGCGTGGGGTTCCAGCACCTCAACCACCATGCCACCTGCTGGTCCCTAATGTAGATATTTTAATAGTAAGGACCAAAAGCATTCTTAGGGATGGGAAGACTACTGTGTAATCATCAGTGGTTCAGTTCACCAGGATAAAGCAACTTTAAACCTATATGTAACTAATAACATAATCTCAAAATACGTATGGCAAAACTTGATGGAATTATAAGGAGAAATGAATAAATCACCCCACCTGCTGGTCCCTAATGTAGATATTTTAATAGTAAGGACCAAAAGCATTCTTAGGGATGGGAAGACTACTGTGTAATCATCAGTGGTTCAGTTCACCAGGATAAAGCAACTTTAAACCTATATGTAACTAATAACATAATCTCAAAATACGTATGGCAAAACTTGATGGAATTATAAGGAGAAATGAACAAATCACCATTACTATTTTTTTTTTAAGGTTTTTGCCATAGGGCACATGCCCATGCCAGGGAGAGACAGTGAGGGGGATAGGGCACATGCCCTTGCCAGGGAGAGACAGTGAGGGGAAAAATGAAATATCACCCCATGGAGGGATGGCCATGCTGCAGTCCCTTTTCCATTTTCCTCCTGGGATTTTGGGCACACACACACACACACACACACACACCTGGTGAGTTTCAAGTCACCAGGCCTAGGACTTGAACTACAGTCGATCACGTGGGAGTTCAGCACCTTAACCACTATGCCACCTGCTGACCCCCATGAGACTTGGAAGATTTTAATTACTCTTTCCCAGCAATTGGTAGAAACTAAAACTAGTAAGGGTATACCTTCTTTTTTGGTTTTGCTATAGGATGCATGTGCTCTCCAGAGAGGGAGAAGGAGAGATACATATACATATAGAGAGAGAGAAGTCACTGCCACAATCCCTTCTCCTCTTAGGATTTCTCCTCTCAGGTGCATGCACATGTGGCCAGTGTAGTTTTCAAGCTGCCTGGTCAGGACTGGAACTGCACGGTCGGCCATGTGAGATCCAGCTGCCTTAACCACCATGCTATCACCTGGACCAGGGTCCTTGCTGTGAATAACACAAATAAGCTTGAGCCGTTAGACATACCTAGAACACTCTACAGTGATTAAATGCTCATTCCTCTCAACCATGCACTAAACCTTAAAGTTTGTCCCCCAAATTTTCCCAGAATCCACCTTATTAACATGCCGACCATGTTTTATGACCGCAATGAAATGATGATATAGGAAAACTAGAATATTCTTACACAGTTGCGTCTGAAACACGTATATGCAGGAGTTGAGATAACAGGAAGATGGAAGAGTAAGAATTCTAGGACCTGCCTGCGAATTCATTCCTGTTTCCTCTGCATTTCCGTCGCAGGTACACTGCAACTTCCTGAGTCTGTTCCAGTCCACACAGCCAGGGAGCCTGCTGTTCGAGGTACTGGTGTTTGCTGAGCGACTGAGTGAGGGTCGTAATGCAACCCACTACCGCGCTGTGAAATGGCATTACAACGAGCAGTCCCTGCACGAAGCCCTCTTTGGGGACGAGTCACGACTGGCAGATCGGCTGCTTGCTCTGGTCATCCACCCTGAGGAGGAGGTTCAGATCCAGGCCTGCAAGGTCATCGTCAGCCTGCAGTGCCCCCGGGACTTGAGAGTCCGGCCTTCCTCCTGCCACCCCAGTCACTCCTACTTTAAAAATGCGGAATAAAATAAAGGAGAGTCAGTAAACGAGTGTGGGAGAGCAGCTTGCGTGTTTGTACATCCCTTCCCAGGACTGGGCGGAGAGTTCATTTGTGTAGCTTCTGCCCCAGAGCATGGCCCAGCAAGGGCACGTCTTCCAAAACATCCCTGCTGCCACGTTTGGGGGACTGACTGCCCTCCCTCTCACTGCTGTTTACATCTGAATTTTGAAATCGATTCTTTCTTCTTTTGTTTTCTTCTTTCTTCCTCTTTCTTTCTTTCTTTCTTTCTCTTTTTCTTTATTTTTTTTTTGACAGTTTTTAGTTGTGTATTTATTCACTTTATTAAAAAATGCACGTATTTTAGAGATCCTATAAATTAAGTGACCACCCATTAAAGTGGAATATAGGGGGTTCGCCAGGTGGCGTGGTGGTTAAGGCACTGGACTCCCACATGCCAGCCACTGTTCAAATCCCAGACCTGGTGGCTTGCTTTCTGATTCTCCCTTTCTCTCTGTTTGCCACTCTCTGGTTAAAATTGATGAATAATAATAAATAAAAGTAAAAATAAATAAATCTTTAAAAACATTTTAAAAATAAAGTGGAATATAGGTCATCCCTCCAAGTGTGGCATTTTTTGTAAAAAGCAGTATTTCTTATTGGAATTTTACTGATCACACAGGATTTAAAAGAATGTCAGATATAATGACACATGTAGTCTAAACAGGACAGGTTGATTAAGAATTGACATAATGTGGGACCAGCAGTCAGTGTAATGGCTATGTCACTGGACTCCCACGTAGTCGACCGCGGTTCGAGTCCCAGACCTGGTGGCTTAAACTCACGCCAGGCGCGTGTGCGTGCGTGCCCAAGATCCCGAGAGGAGAATGGAGGAGAAGGGATTGCGGCGTGGCCATCCCCTCTGGGAGGTGATTTCTTGCTGTCTCTCTGTCTCTCTCTCTATCTGGCGAGTGCATGCACCTTATAGCAAAAACCTCTCCAAAAAAAGAGAAAAGAAAAGAATTTACGTAATGTAACAATGTACCTATTAAAAGTTAGTCGTGTGAACAGACACATGCAGTGGGGAGAGTTGGTGACAGGAATCCCTTTAATGATCGGTTGTGGGCCCGGATACAGTAATATTGCTTTTCCCTCCTTTACAGTAAAAAACTTTCTTTTTTTAAAAGAATTATTTTTATCCAACTTTATTTATTATTATTATTATTTTCCAGTTTGATCAGAGAGAAACAGAGAAAGAGAGAGGGAAAGTGAGAACGTGGGCTACCAGGTCCAGGACTTGAACTGTAGTTCAGCCATGTGGGAGTCCAGTGCCTTTACCACCACGCCACCTGCTGACACCAGTAAACAACTTTCACTCACAGATACAGGTATTCCACTCAAGTGTACACATGTAAGGGCGAGCTGTGACCTGCTACACACGCAGTCTAAAGCCACATAACTCTGATCCTTCTGTGACACTCCCAGGAAAATAGTAAAAGCCCCACGTAGGTGGTAGGAAGCACTGGGCTTTTTTTCTTTTTCCACAGTCCATTGAGGCATTTTATTTGTACATGTGTATTACAACCCTAGAAAAAGAATCCCAGGATCTTCCCTCCTGTAGGTTTCCGTCTTGCCTCTTCATGGTCCATGAGGCCAGCTGGGGTGGTCAGTACAGGGAAACCAGCCTGCCGCGCTGGGAGCAGGTTACTCTGCCATGTCCCTAGATCTTTGAGTCGCACATCGGATCTGGGGCTGTTCACTCCACACTTCTTTAACCTGCCAGTGAGGTTCACGACAATTTTTCCAGCTCTGTGGTCATCAGTGATTTCAAATGCACCGTTGTAACCCTCTTCATCCTCACAGTTAGAGACCGGGCAATGACTCTGGAGCACGGCCCAGTACGAACCTGGCGCTTCCCTCTCTTTTCTGCACTGTTGATGCTCTGGAGGGCGTCAGCCAGGACGTTCACGCGCACCCTTACGGCGGCACAGCAAGATGGCGGAAAGCGCACGGGTCTTTCATTCTAGGTTGGGGGAAAAAAGAGCATTAAAGTAACTGAAGGTCTAGCATATTGGCAACTTAGAGTGCAAAGTATTTTATTTTATCATTATTATTATTTTTTTGGAGAGGTTTTTGCTATAGGGCGCATGCACTCACCAGACAGACAGAGACAGAGAGACAGAAAGTGAGAAATCACCCCCCAGGGGGGATGGCCACACAGCAATCCCTTCTGCTCCATTCTCCTCTCGGGATCTTGGGCACGCACGCACACGCTCCCGGCATGAGTTTTAAGCCACCAGGTCTGGGATGTGAACCACGGTCGATTACGTGGGAGTCCAGCGACATAACCATTATGCTAACTGCTGGTCCCCAAAGTATTTTATTTTGAAAACTCTAAAATCTGAAAACAAGCTGGTCTTGGTTAAATAAGAGGGTCATCTAAGAAGCTACTATTCCATTCTGATATCCCCTCACAGATTTCTATGAACTTATGTGTGGAGGACATGTTCCTGGATTAGAGCGGCATGAGTGAACAAAGGAAGGGGTCGTGGAGAGCACAGAAGGAGAGTGAGAGGAACTGGGACACCATAGGCTTCAGGTTTACTGTGCCCAAACCTCAAAAATAGTCCCCACTGCACAGGAGCAAGGCAGAACCCACCGTATCCACTAAACCTCTCTGCAGTTAAGAAATACGTCTGCCTACACAAGGTAGCTCATTACAGAAAGCAAGGAAGCAGTCTCAAGTTTCGTAACTGGATAGTCAGAGCCTGGGTGAATACCTCCCCTCCAACCTGCTAGTATGAGGTCACTTGTGTCCCAGAGCCTACTCCTGCTTCTCAGGCTTGGTCCACGATATATTATTATACATGCCTTCCAAAAGCCTACCAGTGAGCTTTGCATAAAGCATCTGCATGAAATTTTCTAATTCAGGGGCAGGTAGGTGGCATGGTGGTTAAGGTGCTGGACTCCCACAGGGCCGACTGTGGTTTGAGTCCCATATTTGGTGGCTTGCTTTCTCACTTCCTCTCTCTCTCTCTGTCTCTTTCTGATCAAATTAGAAAATAATAATGATAATAATGATAAATAAAGTTAAATAAAATAATTCTTTTTTAAAAAAAGAATAGGCACTGAAGCTTTCATACCTTGTAAGATAGAGTTGTGAAGATTGGTATTGTTCCCACAGTCCTGAGCCCACATGAAATGTTCAATAAAGGATAATTATAAAAAAAAAAGTTTTCCAAAGCTGAATGTGGTCACTTGAAGCTCAGTTTTTCTGCATGAAATACAACTTCCTAAAACTCCTAGGTGGAAACTACTCTTTTTTTTTTTTTTTTAAGAATTATTTTATCTAACTTTATTTATTTATTTTATTTGACTAGGGAGGAATAGAGTGAGAGAGAGATAGAGAGAGGGAAAGTGAGAAAGCAAACTGCCAAGTCTGGGACTTGAACCATGGTCGAACACGTGGGCGTTCAGCGCCCTTAACCACCACGCCACCTGCTGGCCCTGGGAACACCACTGTTGTGATGATCTGTGATTAGATGGACTGATCAATCTCAGTTGGCAATATCCCTTTTTCCCCTTGGTAAGGGTTTAAAAATTTTACGACAGCTTCATTTTTCTATGTTACACGGCTGGTTTTATCCAAATGTCTCCTGGGAGGCGTAGACCGTGTGTAGGAATCCACCTTCAACCTTTTCGCTTCTGTGTGCTTCAGAGATGGGCGTGGACATGCTCGCCATGCTGTGTCCACTCACCAGGAGGAAGGAGGCCTGATTAGCATTGAGCTGTTGGCGCCTTCTAATGATCTTGATGAGTTTGTTCACGTTGACGTGATCATGTACAGGAACCCGGCTTTATCCAAGACAGGAAGCTCCTTCTCAGCCTTGGACTGGTCTGTTATCCCTGGTATTTAGGTGGGTGCTGCTCTTGGCTAAGTCCGACATCGCCTATTCTTGGTTCAAAGGTACGATGCTGCTTGAAGATCTTCTTTGATGGCATGACGTGGGACCTGGGCTGTGGGGCCAAGGGTCTCGAAGGCTCCTCCTGGGATAGCAGCAGCTTCGACCGAAGCCAGTGCCCTCCCCCCCCCCAAGATTATTTACTATAGGGCGCAAGCACGCCTCAGAGAGACAGAGAGACAGAAAGCAAGAAATCACCACCCGGGGGGAATGGCCATGCTGCAATCTCTTTTCCTCCTTTCTCCTCTCAGGGTCTTGGGCATGCACACGTGCCCGGCATGAGTTTAAGACACCGGGTCCGGGACTTGAATCATTGTCAACTACGTGGGAATCCAGTGACCTAACCACTACGTCATCTGCTGATCCCCCCCACCAGTGCTTTCTAAGAGTTGGGAGAAGACAGGTTTGAGGACTGAGGCCAAAGGTCACCAACAGGAGACTGTAGAGCAGTGGATTAGTCTGGAGGGGCGAGGCGATGCTGCTGTAGCCAATGACCCCCAAGTCCCAGTGGCTTAAACATGACAACAGCTACTTCTTATTTACACTACCTGCCACCTGGGGGTGGGGAGTCAGGGCTGGCTTCTTTCCCACATCGTCCTCACTCAGGTACCCATGCAGAAGGAGACGCCTTCACTGTGTTTCAAAACAGAGAAGAAAAGGAAGACGGCTGTGATGACAAGCTCTTACACGTTCCACCAGAGGGCAGGCCTGCAGTGTAGCGGTTAAAGGAGCTGAATCCCACGTGGCCAAACAGAGTTCAAAATGTGGCCCTGGTGGCTTGAAAAATGTCAGGCATGCTTTCATGCTCCAAATCCCGACAGGATAGAGGGCTGGAGAGAGGACCTAGCTATGGCTACACCTCACCGGGGGTGCTTTCCCTCTCTTCTGACTCTCCATCTGTCTCTGGCAATTTAAAAAAAAAAGTTGTACCAGCAGTTAGCGTAATGGCTATGTCGCTGGACTCTCATGTAGTTGACTGCAGTTCAAGTCCCGGACCCGGTGGCTTAAACTCACACCGGGCGCATGTGCATGTGTGCCCAAGATCCCAAGATGAGAATGGAGGAGAAGGGATTGCGGGTGATTTCTC